AGCTTATTCTTTAGGCAGCCCCTTCCAGCTGATAAGGGCTTCGTTCTCTCAGGTCGTCGAGTTGGTCTGATAAGCAAAAACTGATTCAGGTTCCACAATCCATTCCCACTCCTCGGATAGTTGTGGTGGGATGAGCTGAGCTGCAGTAGCCGTCCCGATCACCTTCTTAAGCTCAGAGACATGGAAAACGAGGTGGATCCAGGCTTCGGATGGTAATTCAAGGTGGTAAGCGACCTTACCAATGCGTTGTAAGATTGTGTAGGGCCCGAAGTATTTAGGCTGCAGCTTCTCATTCTTCTTGGCCAAGGACAGTTGCCTTTAGGGATGCACCTTGAGGAACACGAGATTGCCAACATCATACTCGACTTCCCTACGCCTCTTGTCAGCCTGCTTCTTCATTTGATCTTGAGCTTTCTGTAAGTGTTCTTTCAGTTGGGCTAGTGCCATATCTCTTTCCACGAGTTGTTGATCCAATGTAGCATTCGCTGTCTTTTGGCTCCCATAGGAAATCAAGGGTGGTGGAGACCGGCCATACATGGCTTGGAAAGGAGTTGAGCCGAGAGAATTATGGTAGGTGGTGTTATACCAGTGCTCTGCCCATGCTAGCCATTGCCCCACTGTTTGGGCTTCTCACTGCAGAAACATCACAAGTAGGTCTCTAGGCAACGGTTTACTCTCTCGGATTGTCCATCAGTTTGTGGGTGGTACGTTGTGCTTCTTTTCAAGGTAGTCCCCTACAGCCGGAATAACTTGGTCCAAAAATGACGGATGAAAACCTTGTCATATACCTGAGATGACGGATCTGGGGAATCCGTGGAGTCTTACAATCTCCTTTATGAATGCCATAGCAACCACCTTAGCAGAAAACGGATGGCATAATGGTATTGTTGGATTTATTAATATTTGTGTAAATATTAGGTGTCAATATTAGTTGTCAATATTTAGTCTTTATTGTTGATATTCAGTCTTTATGGTGTTTATTACTTTCCTTGTTTGTAGTAGGTCATTTTCCTATATAAGAAGACCTAAGTTACATGTTTGAATCAAGGAGTATATTTTTTACTCTCTCAAATTAACATGGTATCAGAGCTTAGGAAGTAAACCCTAACTCTCAAAACCCTATCCATCATCAAAAATACCAAACCCTAATTTCAAAACCCTAGCCGTCAATCAAAACCCTAGCTGTCAATCAAAACCCTAGCTGTCAATCAAAACCCTAGTCGGCATCCATTCCTCCTTCCG